AGTTTCCAAATGACAACAGCGAGGAATTGTAAAACCAATCCGAAATAACAAAACGAAGTTGAAAACAAGAATAGAATGAAATAGAAAATAAAAGACTAGAATAGAATCTAAAAGCACGGGGGGGGGGGGGCAAACTGGCGGCCCTCCAGCAGTTGCGGAACTACAAGTCCCATGAGGCATTGCAAGACTGACAGTTACAAGGATGATTCCCAGAGGCAGAGGCATGATGGGACTTGTAGTTCACCAACAGCTGGAGGGCAGCCAGTATGAAGGAAAAGAATAGGAAATAAAACAGAAAAGAAAAAAACTAGAATAGAATAGAAAAAAAAAAAAAAATAAAAATCAAAATAGAAAGGAACAGAATAGAGCCACCTTCCAAATCCCATCATGCCTCTGCCTGTGGGAGTCGTGCTTCTGTCAGTATTGCAATTCCCTCATGGGACTTGTAGTTCCACAACAGCTGGAGAACCACCAGTTTGCCCCCCCCCCGTGCTTTTAGATTCTATTCATCTTTTATTCTTTCTATTTTATTCTATTCTTGTTTTCAAATTCTAATGCAAAAAAAAAAAAACGGGTGTCAAACTGGCGGTTCTCCAGCTGTTGTGGAACTACAAGTCCCATGAGGCATTGCAAGACTGACAGAAGCACGACTCCCACAGGCAGAGGCATGATGGGACTTGTAGTTCTGCAACAGCTGGAGGGCTGCTAGTTTGACACCTCTGATCTAAAGGAAAAGAATAGAATAAAAAGAAAAATACAAAATAAATAGAAAAGAATAGAAAAGAACAGAAAACAGAATAGAACCATCTTCCAAATTTTGAACAGAATCAATTCGAATTCAATACTTTTTGATTCGTTTGAATTCAATTCAACTGAATTTGGAAAATTCGAATCGGATTCGAAATGTCAAAACCCTTCTCACCCCGTCCTAGTGTCCCTTAGACATCTGCGGTTCGTTTTTTTTTTTCGAATTCAAATTTGGACAAAAACTTTTTTTTTTTCTTATTCGAATGACAACAGCAACAAATTTAAACGAATTCAAAATTTTTGGTCCGAAATCGGAATGCGAAAATGTTCCAAATCAAAATTCGGCCACGTTTTTCATTCTTCGGAGATCCGGATGTATCCGAGTTTCCAAAGGACGACAGCGAGGAATTGAAACCAATCCGAAATAACGAAATGAAATTGTGTTCGAAATCGGAATGCGAAAATGAAATAGAATTTGAAAACAAGAATAGAATAAAATAGAGAATAAAAAACTAGAATAGAATCTAAAAAGGTAAAAAAAAGAAAAAAACTAGAATAGAATAGAAAAATAATAAATAGAAAAGGAATAGAATAGAACAGAACAGAAAATAGAATAAAACAGAATATAGCCACCTTCCAAATTTTGAAGAGAATCAATTCGAATTCGATACTTTTTTATTCCCTTGAATTCGATTCAACTGAATTCGGAAAATTTGAATCAAATTCGAAATTTCAAAACCCTTCTCACCCCTCCTAGTGTCCCATAGACATGTGCGGTTCATTTTGTTGCAGCTGTTGGTGAACTACAAGTCCCATCATGCCTCTGCCTATGGGAGTCATGCTTGTAACTGTCAGTCTTGCAATGCCTCATGGGACTTGTAGTTCACCAACAGCTGGAGGGCCACCAGTTTGACACCTGTGCAGGACGGTTAGATTCTATTCTAGTCTTTTACTTTCTATGTTATTCTATTCTTGTTTTCAAATTCTATTTCGTTTTCGTATTCCAATTTCAAACACAATTTTGTTTCGTTATTTCGGATTGGTTTCAATTCCTCGCTGTTGTCATTTGGAAACTCGGATACATCCGGGTCATCGAATAACAAAAAAATTTGGCCGAATTTTAATTTGGAACAAAACGAACTGCACATGTCTAAGGGACACTCGGACGGGTGAGAAGGGTATTGAAACGTCGAATTCGATTTAGAATTTTCCGAATTCGGTCAAATTGAATTCAAGCAAATCAAAAAGTATCGAATTCGAATTTATTCTCTTCAAAATTTGGAAGGTGGCTCTTTTCTGTTTTATTCTATTTTCTGTTCCTTTCTATCCTATTCTTTTCTGTTTGTTTTCTATTCTAGTTTTTTATTTATTATTTGATTCTTGTTTTCGAATTCAATTTCATTTTCGAATTCCGACAAAAATTTTGTTTCGTTATTTTGGATTCGTTTAAATTTGAGTAAAAAAAAAAAAAATCGTCCGAATTTCAATTTGAAATAAAAATGAACCGCACACATCTAAGGGACACTTAGGCCCGGGTGGGAGGGGTTTTGAAATTTGAATTCAATTCAAATTTTCAGTTGAATTGAATTCAATTGAATCAAAAAGTATCGAATTTGAATTTATTCTGTTCAGAATTTGGAAGGTGGATCTATTCTGTTTTATTCTATTTTCTGTTCTTTTCTATTTCTTTTGCATTTTTTTAGTTTCTTCTTTTCTGTTTTATTTTTTATTCTTTTCCTTTAGATCGGGATGTCACACTGGCTGCCCTCCAGATGTTGGTGAACTACAAGTCCCATCATTCCTCTGCTTTTGGGAGTCATGTTTGTAACCGTCAGTCTTGCAATGCCTCATGGGACTTGTAGTTCACCAACAGTCGGAGGGTCGCCAGTTTGACACCCGTGCGGGACGGTTAGCTTCTATTCTAGTCTTTTACTTTCTATGTTATTCTATTCTTGTTTTCAGATTCTAACACACGGGGTGTCAAACTTGCGGCCCTCCAGCTGTTGTGGAACTACAAGAACGATGTAATTAAGCCGATTGTCTGGTTAGATTGAACCCTAAAGGAGATTGTACAATTGGATTGTAACGTGTGTGTACAACTTTTTTTTTTACCAATGCTTCAAGTCACATGACTCCAAGCCAGATTATTGGGGGGACGATGGCGCCCCCTTCTGATTGCTGGAAGGAACAATAAATCGTGAGATTGCCTGGGAAAGGTAGGGGGGGTCATAATACACATTCCAATTTAACACTCTTTAGTATCACTGAAATGGTATCAGTGGGAGGAATAGTGCCCCATCATTGGTGTTAGTGGGAGGAATAGTGCCCCATCATTGGTGTCAGTGGGAGGAATAGTGCCCCATCATTGGTGTCAGTGGGAGGAATAGTGCCCCATCATTGGTGTCAGTGGGAGGAATAGTGCCCCATCATTGGTGTCAGTGGGAGGAATAGTGCCCCATCATTGGTGTCAGTGGGAGGAATAGTGCCCCAATCATTGGTATCAGTGGGAGGAATAGTGTGCCCCATCATTGGTATCAGTGGGAGGAATAGTGCCCCATCATTGGTATCAGTGGGAGGAATAGTGCCCCATCATTGGTGTCAGTGGGAGGAATAGTGCCCCCAACATTGGTGTCAGTGGGAGGAATAGTGCCCCATCATTGGTGTCAGTGGGAGGAATAGTGCCCCATCATTGGTATAAGTGGCAGGAATAGTGCCCCATCATTGGTGTCAGTGGGAGGAATAGTGCCCCATCAATGGTGTCAGTGGGAGGAATAGTGCCCCATCATTGGTGTCAGTGGGAGGAATAGTGCCCCATCATTGGTGTCAGTGGGAGGAATAGTGCCCCATCATTAGTATCAGTGGCAGGAATAGTGCCCCATCATTGGTGTCAGTGGGAGGAATAGTGCCCCATCATTGGTGTCAGTGGGAGGAATAGTGCCCCATCATTGGTATAAGTGGCAGGAATAGTGTCCCATCATTGGTGTCAGTGGGAGGAATAGTGCCCCATCATTGGTATAAGTGGCAGGAATAGTGCTCCATCATTGGTGTCAGTGGGAGGAATAGTGCCCCATCATTGGTGTCAGTGGGAGGAATAGTGCCCCATCATTGGTGTCAGTGGAGGAGAAGTAGTGCCCCATCATTGGTATAAGTGGGAGGAATAGTGCCCCATCATTGGTGTCAGTGGGAGGAATAGTGCCCCATCATTGGTGTCAGTGGGAGTAGTAGTGCCCCATCATTGGTGTCAGTAGGAGGAACAGTGCCCCATCATTGGTGTCAGTGGGGAGGAATAGTGCCCCATCATTGGTGTCAGTGGGAGGAATAGTGCCCCATCATTGGTATCAGTGGAGGAATAGTGCCCCATCATTGGTATAAGTGGGAGGAATAGTGCCCCATCATTGGTGTCAGTGGGAGGAATAGTGCCCCATCATTGGTGTCAGTGGGAGGAATAGTGCCCCATCATTGGTGTCAGTGGGAGGAATAGTGCCCCATCATTGGTGTCAGTGGAGGAATAGTGCCCCATCATTGGTGTCAGTGGAGGAATAGTGCCCCATCATTGGTGTCAGTGGGAGGAATAGTGCCCCATCATTGGTGTCAGTGGGAGGAATAGTGCCCCATCATTGGTGTCAGTGGGAGGAATAGTGCCCCATCATTGGTGTCAGTGGGAGAATAGTGCCCCATCATTGGTGTCAGTGGGGGGAATAGTGCCCCATCATTGGTATCAGTGGGAGGAAATAGTGCCCCATCATTGGTGTCAGTGGGAGGAATAGTGCCCCATCATTGGTGTCAGTGGGAGGGAAATAGTGCCCCATCATTGGTATCAGTAGGGGAGGAATAGTGCCCCATCATTGGTGTCAGTGGGAGGAATAGTGCCCCATCATTGGTGTCAGTGGGAGGAATAGTGCCCCATCATTGGTGTCAGTGGGAGGAATAGTGCCCCATCATTGGTGTCAGTGGGAGGAATAGTGCCCCATCATTGGTGTCAGTGGGAGGAATAGTGCCCCATCATTGGTGTCAGTGGGAGGAATAGTGCCCCATCATTGGTGTCAGTGGGGGGAATAGTGCCCCATCATTGGTATCAGTGGGAGGAAAAAAGTGCCCCATCATTGGTGTCAGTGGGAGGAATAGTGCCCCATCATTGGTGTCAGTGGGAGGAATAGTGCCCCATCATTGGTGTCAGTGGGGGAATAGTGCCCCATCATTGGTGTCAGGGGAGGAATAGTGCCCCATCATTGGTAGTCAGGTGGGAGGAATAGTGCCCCATCATTGGTGTCAGTGGGAGGAATAGTGCCCCATCATTGGTGTCAGTGGGAGGAATAGTGCCCCATCATTGGTGTCAGTGGAGGAATAGTGCCCCATCATTGGTGTCAGTGGGAGGAATAGTGCCCCATCATTGGTATCAGTGGAGGAATAGTGCCCCATCATTGGTGTCAGTGGAGAGAATAGTGCCCCATCATTGGTGTCAGTGGGAGGAATAGTGCCCCATCATTGGTGTCAGTGGGAGGAATAGTGCCCCATCATTGGGTGCCCCATGTCAGTGGGTTAGGGGAGGAATAGTGCCCCATCATTGGTGTCAGTGGGAGGAATAGTGCCCCATCATTGGTATCAGTGGGGGGAATAGTGCCCCATCATTGGTATCAGTGGGAGGAATAGTGCCCCTCATTGGTGTCAGTGGGGGGAATAGTGCCCCATCATTGGTATCAGTGGCAGGAATAGTGCCCCATCATTGGTGTCAGTGGGAGGGAATAGTGCCCCATCATGGTATCAGTGGGAGGAATAGTGCCCCATCATTGGTGTCAGTGGGAGGAATAGTGCCCCATCATTGGTATCAGTGGAGGAATAGTGCCCCATCATTGGTGTCAGTGGGAGGAAATAGTGCCCCATCATTGGTGTCAGTGGGAGGAATAGTGCCCCATCATTGGTATCAGTGGGAGGAATAGTGCCCCATCATTGGTATCAGTGAGCGGGGGGAATAGTGCCCCATCATTGGTATCAGTGGGAGGAATAGTGCCCCATCATTGGTGTCAGTGGGAGGAAAATAGTGCCCCATCATTGGTGTCAGTGGGAGGAATAGTGCCCCATCATTGGTGTCAGTGGGAGGAATAGTGCCCCATCATTGGTGTCAGTGGGAGGAATAGTGCCCCATCATTGGTGTCAGTGGGAGGAATAGTGCCCCATCATTGGTGTCAGTTGGAGGAATAGTGCCCCATCATTGGTGTCAGTGGGAGGAATAGTGCCCCATCATTGGTGTCAGTGGGAGGAATAGTGCCCCATCATTGGTGTCAGTGGGAGGAATAGTGCCCCATCATTGGTGTCAGTGGGAGGAATAGTCCCCATCATTGGTGTCAGTGGGAGGAATAGTGCCCCATCATTGGTGTCAGTGGGAGGAATAGTGCCCCCATCATTGGAGGAATCGTGCCCCATCAGTGTCAGTGGGAGGAATAGTGCCCCATCATTGGTATCAGTGGGAGGAATAGTGCCCATCATTGGTTCAGTGGGAGGAATAGTGCCCCATCATTGGTGTGTCAGTGGGAGGAATAGTGCCCCATCATTGGTGTCAGTGGGAGGAATAGAGCCCCATCATTGGTGTCAGTGGGAGGAATAGTGCCCCATCATTTGGTGTAGAGAGCTCAAAAGGGGAGGAATAGTGCCCCATCATTGGTGTCAGTGGGAGGAATAGTGCCCCATCATTGGTGTCAGTGGAGGAATAGTGCCCCATCATTGGTTCGTTTGTTTTTCGTCCAGTTAATGGGCACAATTTGAAAAATGGAAAGAAAAGTTTGTAAAACATCAAATGGACGATCGATTGAAAAGTTGATCTATTTTTCCCCCCCCGAAAAAAAAATAAAGCGATCTGTCGGTGCTGCATGTAGGTGACCCAGAAGCAAGAAAAAAAAAAAACGGACAAAAAATAATTCTGTCCATTGAGCGATTTATCATTGGAATATCCGGCCAGTACATGAGGGTACCTTTCATAGGATTTTTTGAGTTTGGGCGAGGACACAGGGGCCCCATGATCCCCTATTGCCCGGGGGCCCCATGAGTGGTCAGTCCACCCCTGGGCACCTACCTCATCGATTTATATCAGACGGGCCCCGGGCACTACATAGTTGTTGGCAGGTAAAGGAATTTGTACAATCAGATTGCATAGTGTATGGGCAGCCTTAGGATTGGATGGTGGGAGGGGCAGGAAAAGGGTTATAAGTAGGTGGGCGGGGACTGGGGCGTGTCCTCTGGGAATGTGTCGATTATTTTCAGGAACGATCTGTTCTCGATTTGTATGTATTTGGAGCGATCGACACGGCGACTCCGAAATCTTCACCGATCACTGCAATGGAGCGTTCCGATCACAGATTGGTACAATTGAACCATACACAGTCAGATCAGGATTGGACAGATCCTGGAGAACTACAAATCCCATCATTCCACCCCCATCCATCATCTATGACGTCACAGTTCTGTGTGCGGGGGGGGGGGGGGCGATTGGGGGAGACGCTGAGACTGCAGAGAGCCTAGAAACCGACCACTGCGGCCTCCGGCACTCACCGGGTTACTGGAGACAAAAGCTGGGAGGGGGAGGGGAGCACGGACTATTTGCCGGGTGGAAGCACATGGGAGTGCTTGGGCTTTCCTTCTAGTGCTTTCCATCCTGACCCCTCCCATCCCCGCCCCTCTCCTCCTCCAATCCTGCCCCCAGGATCTCTGTTCTCTTCTACCTCCGCCCGCTGTGCTGTCATCTCTGCTTCCTCATTGGTCCACGGGCCTCCCCCTGCCCCTCCCCCCCTCCTCCTCCTTTGCTACACTTTCTGTTTCCTTATTGTTCCCTCTACTTCTATGTCTGTCTACCTGAACCCCGTTTCTTGCTCCCTCTCTTCCTGCCCCCGCACTCCTCCACCTGAACCCCATTCCCTGCTCCCACACCCCCTATACCTCCACCTGAACCCCATTCCCTCCCATCGCACCCCCATTCCTCCCCCTGTACCCCATTCCCTCCCATCGCACCCTCCATTCCTCCCCCTGTACCCCATTCCCTCCCATCGCACCCCCCATTCCTCCCCTTGTACCCCATTCCCTCCCATCGCACCCCCCCATTCCTCCCCTGTACCCTCTTCCTGCACCTCCCATTCCTCCTCCTGTACCCCTCTTACTGCCCCCTTCCTCCCCCTGTACCCCGCTTCCTGCCCTCGCACCCCCTATTCCTCCCCTGTACCCCGCTTCCTGCCCTTGCACCCCCTATTCCTCCCCCAGTAACCCTCTTACTGCCCCCTTCCTCCCCCTGTACCCCTCTTCCTGCCCTCGCACCCCCTATTCCTCCCCTGTACCCCGCTTCCTGCCCTCGCACCCCCCATTCCTCCCCCTGTACTCCATTTCCCCCCCCCGCACCCGCTGTACCCCTCTTCCTGCCCCCACACCCCATATTCCTCCCCCTGAACCCCATTCCCTCCCATCGCACCCCCCATTCCTCCCCCTGTACCCCTCTTCCTGGCCCCGCATCTCCTATTCCTCCCCCTGTACCCCTCTTTCTGCCCCCGCACCACCCATTCCTCCCCAGTACCCCATTTCCTGCCCCTGCATACGCTGTACCCCTCTTCCTGCCCCCCACAACCCCTATTCCTCCCCCTGTACCTCTCTTCCTGCCCCCATACCCCCTATTCCTCCCTCCCCTGTATTCCTCCCCCCCTCTTCCTGCTCCCTCACCCCCTATTCCTCCCCCGTACCCCTCTTTCTGCCCCCTATACCTCTATTCCGTCCCTCATACCCCTATTCCTCCCCGTACCCCTATTCCTGCACTTTATACCTCTATTCCTCCCCCCGTACCCCTATACCTCCCCCTGTACCCTGAATCCTGCTCCCTATACCTCTACTCCTCCCCCTGTACCCCTATTCCTGCTCCCTATACCTCTACTCCTCCCCCTGTACCCCTATTCCTGCCCCCTATACCTCTACTCCTCCCCCTGTACCCCTATTCCTGCCCCTATACCTCTATTCGTTTCCCCCTGTACCCCTATTCCTGCCCCCTGTACTTCTATTTCTCCCCCTTGTACCCCTATTCCTGCCCCCTGTACTTCTATTTCTCCCCCTTGTACCCCTATTCCTGCCCCCTGTACTTCTATTTCTCCCCCTTGTACCCCTATACCCAGGGCTTTTTTTTTTTTTTTAGCGAGAATGGGGGGGGGGGGGGGGGGGGGGGGGGGGGGGGGGGGGGGGGGGACTATTCTTTCTGGCTGCCGGGGATCATTTTACTGCCTTTCTTATTATTAACTAAACAATTCTAACAAATTACTTGGCACCACAAATGGATCCTTCGGTCTGGTTTTGTATCCTCCAACGTGGGAGGTACTAGAGGGTAGATAGGGGGTGGAACCGACTGACGGTGCTCAAATGTGGGTGGAACTGAGGGACAGTGCTCAAGGGTGGGTAGTGGATGCCTGGGAGGGATTAGAACCCCTGACAGGTTTTTTTTTTTTACGGTCTATGCTCCTATTAGGGAGACCAGACCCCCCCTCCCCCCCCCCCCCCCCCCCCCCCCCGACAGTGGTTATAACCTTACCTTACTCTATAGAAAATGGCGGGGAAACGTTTTGCCTAGAGTTCTACTTTAATAAATCATTTTGTAGCAAAATTTAAGGGTTTCAAAACTGAAGTATTATAACTCGAGAACACTAAGGGGCAGCAAACTGAAAAAAAATCAATCTCACATATAAATCACACGGCTCTCTCCACCACGGATCCCACAGATTGTCACTGGTGGTTCCATAGACACCACAATACTAACCAATCCAACTAATGTGACTCCAATCTTCTCAGGAAGCCAGGGACATAAGGAAGTGCTGGGGGTCAGTGGGAATCTTCTCAGGAGGCCAGGGACATGAGGAAGTGCTGGGGGTGAAGAGGAATCTTTTCAGGAAGCCGGGGACACAAAGCACTGGTGGCCACTTGGAATCTTCTCAGGAACCCAGGGACATAAGGAAGCACTGGGGGTCACTTAGAATCTTCTCAGGAACCCAGGGACATAAGAAAGCACTGGTGGCCACTTGGAATCTTCTCAAGAGCCCAGGGAAACACTGGGGTTCACTGGGAATCTTCTCTGGAAGCCAGGGACACAAGGAAGCACTGGGGGTGACTAGGAATCTTCTTAGGAAGCCAGGGACACGAGGAAGTGCTGGGGGTCACTGGGAATCTTCTCAGGAGGCCAGGGACATGAAGTGCTGGGGGTGAATAGGAATCTTTTCAGGAAGCCAGGGACACGAAGCACTGGGGGTCACTTGGAATCTTCTCAGGAATCCAGGGCCAAGAGGAAGCACTGGTAGCCACTTGCAATTTTCTCAGGAAGCCAGGGACATAAGGAAGCACTGGTGGCCACTTGGAATCTTCTCAGGAACCCAGTAGCATAAGGAAGCATTGGGGGTCACTTGGAATCTTCTCAGGAACCCAGAGGCATAAGGAAGCATTGGGGGTCACTTGGAATCTTCTCAGGAAGCAAGAGACATAAGGAAGCACTGGGGGGGT